ATACTGACTCAAAGTAAGAAAGAAAGGAAGAAAGAAAAAAAGGAAGGAAGGAAGGAAGAAAGAGTTTTTGTTTTGTCTCTGCTGAGTTTAACACCCCCTCCAGAGTGACCTGAGGGAGCCTCACGTGGGGGATTGCCTCCATCAGATTGGCCTGTGGGTGTCTGTGGGGTATCTTCTTGACTGGTGACTGAAGGTAGCTCACTGAGTGCCATGCCTGGGCAGGTGGCCCTGTGTTGTGTGAGAAAGCAAGCTCAGTAAGCCCGGAAGCAGCATCCTCCAAGGCCTCTGCCTCACGTCCTTCCCCCGGTTCCTGTTTTGAGCTCCCTCGATGGATTGTGACCTAGAGGCAGGACCTCATTAGCTTCTCTGCAGACCAGACAGCGATTTCCTGTTTCCCCTGCTTATATCCTGTTTCCACCCAGCTATCTGTCTGTACAGACCTCCAGACATCTGTGGTTAGCTAGTTGCAAGCTCCATTCTCTTACCTTCAGATACGCTTTATTTGTACAAGCAAGACATCACCACACGACCTGGAAGGGCAAGCCAAATCTTCATTTCCTTTCCTTCCCAAGCTGCTTTTGGTCAGAATATTTTATCATAGCAACCGAAGAACAAACTAATATAGAGCCCCAGCTCAAAATATAAGGTGAAGCCTAGTGTAATGGCCCACGCCTTTAATTCCAGCACTTGGGAGGCAGAGGCCTATGACTGTGAGGCCAGCATGGTCTATATAGAAAGTTCCAGGCCAGCCAGGGTTACATTCTGAGACAATGTCTAAAACCACTATAATAATCAACTAATCCAACAAACAATACCACCCCCCAAAAAAAATCTAAAACAATCCCCACCCAAATAAGGTGGAATGATTAGGGCCAATATTTCAGTGTTAGCATCCGTTTTAATATGCTAACATCTGCTCCCCCCCAACACTCACACTCATTGGGGGCGAATAGAGCATTAGATGGGCAAAAGGGTGGAGACAGGGTCAATATCTAATAGCTAGAGCAGGAGGTAGCAAAGCACCTATGAAGGAGGAGATAGAGGCTCCAAGGCAGTGCGGTTCTCAACCTTCCTAAGGATTCCACCCTTGAATACAGTTCTCAACCTTCCTAAGGATTCCACCCTTGAATACAATTCTCAACCTTCTTAACGATTCCACCTTGAATACAGTTCTCAACCTTCTTAACGATTCTACCCTTGAATACAGTTCCTCATGCTGTGGCGACCCCAACCATAAAATTATTTTTGTTGTTACTTCAGAACTATAATTTTGCTCCTGTTATGAATCAAAGTGTAAATATCTGTGCTTTCTGATGGTCTCATGCAGCCCAGTGAAAAGGTCGTTTAATCCCAAAAGGGACAATCCCCATAGGTTGAGAGCCACTTATCTAAGAAGAAAGAGAGGGTAGTAGCTCCACTGCTGGAATAAAGAGAGAGGCTGTCTGGCCACACAGCCATGCCTTTCACCAGCACAAACACTTGTATTACACTGTGCATGCACAGTGACAACAAGATACGGTTCCTCGGCACACATGTCCATACAAGATGCAGCTCCTCAGCACACATGTCTATTTTCTTCTATGACAAGGTAAGCACTGTACTACCATGCAAGCCCTGTCCATTTTTAAGTCTTTTTTATTTTAAAGAGGGTCTTGTGTATTACCCTAGCAGACCTTGAACTTGTGATCCTTGTGCCTCAGCCTAATGGGATTATAGGTTTGCTGGAATTTTGATTGTGCTGATAAAGAGCATGCAGTGTCCCACATACTCACTGGCTGGTGGTTTCTTTCTCTGATAAACAGCATGCAGTAAGTATCCCATGTACTCACTGGCTGGTGGTTTCTTTCGCTGATAAACAGCATGCAGTATCCCATGTACTCACTGGCTGGTGGTTTCTTTCGCTGATAAACAGCATGCAGTAAGTACCCCATGTACTCACTGGCTGGTGGTTTCTTTCGCTGATAAACAGCATGCAGTAAGTACCCCATGTACTCACTGGCTGGTGGTTTCTTTCGCTGATAAACAGCATGCAGTAAGTACCCCATGTACTCATTGGCTGGTGGTTTCTTTCTCTGATAAACAGCATGCAGTAAGTACCCCATGTACTCACTGGCTGGTGGTTTCTTTCGCTGATAAACAGCATGCGCAGTGTCCTACATACTAACTGCTTGGTTTCTTGGAAATTGTGACTGGGTCTTTCAAGACGCTGGAATACGGTTGGGTTTTGGACAAAGGCTCAGAATAAAGTCCACTGTTGATTTCTGTATCTTTTGTGAGACCTAAATCCTGTAACAGCATATAACATCCACATAAGTTCCATGTGAAGCCCTTCCTTCTCTGGCCCATGTCATTTGTAATCCTAGTTCTTCCTATTCTGTGTATGCTGTTCTCCAAGTAATCCTACTACTCAAAATCGACAGCTGCTTCCTCTCTCCCTCCTTCCTCCCCTTTACCCCCGACTCTCTCTTTCTTTTATCTTTTTCTTTTCTTTTTCTTTTTTTCTTTTTTTTTTTGAGATAGGGTTTCTCTGTGTAGCACTGGCTGTCCTGGAACTCCCCCTGTAGACCAGGCTGGCCTTGAACTCACAGATACACATCTGCTTCTGCCTCCTGAGAGCTAGGATTAAGGTTTTCTTCCTCCCCCTTTCCTTCCCTCCGTCTTCCTTTCCTCTCTATCTCTTCCTGTTCCTCTTTTTCTTTTTAGATACAGCCTCATTATGTTACCTAGGTGAACCTCAACCTTCTGGGCTCAGCTCAAATAATCTTCCCGCCTCAGATCCCTGAGTGACTAGGATGTCAGGAAAGGGCTACCAAACCCAGTCCACATCCCTCAATATGCTGTCTCCTTCCTCTAGGAATACCAGTCTCCAGCTAAAATCCTCTGTCTGCTCCCTGTCACTCTTGGAATAAATTCAAATATAATCACACATGGCCATACCTTCACTCACTGAGGAGGAAAAGCAGCCCCGCAACAGAGCTTCTTAAACTGCCAGTGAGGAAAAAGTTGAGGCCTCAGCTGACTCTTAGCTCATTAAGACTTTGCTGAACACTGTGTCCAGGACTCTATGTCCGTGTCTCACTTCACTTTGCTGGACACCGTCTCCCTCTTGATCCCTGCTCTATTAGCATCTTCTTGGAAGCCAACATTCAGATCGCTCACTCACAGTCATGTGAACTCTTCTCTTTGGAACAGCTCACCCCCTTCTCCCCTCCTCGGGCTCCATCATCTCCTTTCTCTCCCACAAGTGTCACAAGACAATTCTCAGCCTCGGTCTTAAGTTATCTTTGTTAAAAGATAAGGTTAGAAAGCGAGAGGGAGGAAAGTTTTGTTGCTTTCTTTCTCCCATTCTGTAATTTCATTCTAATCACAAGAAAAACATCAGACCAAGTTAAAGGCTATTGTACAAAATACCCACCACTGTTTAACAGTGGCACAGCCGAGAAAAATCAGGAAAGCTGAAGAAGAAAAGGAGACTACAAATGACAGGCCGTGGGGTGTTGGCATGTGTCCTGGGATAGGAACGCAATGCAGTGAGGAACGGAGAAGCCTGAATAAACGGAGGTCAGTAGTCAATACTATTGCACTAAAGCCAAGCTTTTATTTTTTTAATCTACGCATATAATTTACACACAGACACACACGTGCGCGCGGGGACTTGCACACCACAGAGTGCATGCACAGTCAGCTCTTTCCTTCTGTCGTGTGGGTTCCTGGGACTGAACTGGGGAGGGCATCAGGCTTGGTGGCAAGTGCCTTACACAGTGAGCCATCACACTGCCTCAATATCCATTTATTTATTGTGTGTGTGTGTGTGTGTGCACATGCACTCACACACATAAGGTTGCCTGGGGAACCCAGAAGAGGTTGGATCCTCTGGAGCTGGAGTTAGAGTTACAGATGGTTGTGAGCTGCCCAGTGTGTGTGTGCTGGAACCAAACTCTTAAGCCCTGAGCTTTCTCTCTGCCATCCCCTTCAAAGTTTTTATTTTTTTTTATTTTTGAGAGATGTGCCATGATTTATAAGATGTGTATGTTAAGAAAGTTTCTTAGAAAGCTAATAATGTGATGTATTAAATAGTCAGAACATCGTGCTACAAGGAGGGGTGTGTGCATAGCCCAGGTCAAGTGGAATCCCAAACTGCTAAGTCATTCGTTTTGTGTGCCTGTCTCAGAGCTAGGAAAGGAATTCTGAAATAAGTCAGTAGCCAGGTTAGAAGTTTGGTGACTATCCTGGAGGGAAATCAGCTGTAATCGTTAGAGGTTATATTATATATTGAATGGAAATCATTTGCATGTCTAACAGACATCTAGCTTCACAAAATCTGAACTCAAATAATAATTAATAAGTAAGTTCTCCAGGAGAACTATGTTTGAGTGGGCTTGCCACACAATGCTCAGACATGACATTGAAAGGACATGCAATTATCCTTTTGCCATGATAATAAGCTTTGGACATTAAACCTAATGAGCTGGTAGTCTAATGGAGCTTGGTTTGCACATCTCTGTTACCTAACCGCAAGGCACTAGATGTCTGCTCCATAACATCATTCCTTCAGGCCATCACCATTGTCCCAGCATTCTGTCTTCAAGAGCCACTTTTGCGTCTCTGAAGTCTGGCCAGAGTCCTCCTTCACTCCTTATCAGGCAAACTGATGTGTGCAGTCCATAGCATCAGGGGGAGCAGGCTAGTGGCCACCAGCCTACAATCTTAGCCCTCAGGATGCAGAGGCAGGAGGAGCAGGAGTTTGAGGCTAGCCTGGTCTACATAAGACCTTGTCTCCAAAAAATCAAGCAGTACAGGCTAGGATTGTGACTAAGTTGGTGGAGTGTTTGCCTAGCATGCAGAACGTCATGTGGCAGGGCATGGTGCTACATGTCTGTAATCCTCAGAAGGTTCTGGCAAGAGGAACAGAATTCAAGGTCATCTTTGGCTACCTAGTGAATGTACAGCAAACCTGAAACATGTTAGGCCCTGTCTGAAACAAACAAGCAAACAAGCAATCCAAACAACAACCAAGATACTGTTTATTGAGGCCCAAGGTGTTTCCCCACCCTGAGATTAGGGTATCTGTTTGTACCAAGACACCCTGTTATCTTTGTTAACTAAGTTTCCAGGCAATTTTTTTTTAGCTAAATGTGCAATAACTGATGTAGGGTCGCAAGGAGGATTTGAAGGTGGGGTCCAGCTCCTGCAGCCAGCATGTGAACACTGGGGGTCTGGGCAACGCAAGCAGGGAAGGAAAGGTGACCTCATTTGTACTCTGGCCAGTGAGCCCCGCTGCATGCTGGCTAGACAGGTATCAGAGCCATCTCCTCCCAGATCCTGCTCCCATGAGATGCTGCTCTGGAAATCAGGTCTGCAGGCCAGCTTCCCTCGGAGGCCGGTTCTCTAAATTTAGAACTTGCGTTCTTCAGGTAGAGAGGGCTAACTTTGAGGCTAAAGCACTAACCGGGGATTATGGGAAGAAAGCATTTCACAGCAAATAATGACCTAAGCCGAGCGGAACACAGTCCCTTTAGCACACCAGAGGGTCTGGCTTTGCAAGTGGCACCTTGCCAGGGAAGTAACGCAAAACAGCCCTGAGGCACTAAAGGGGAGTTTCAGAAAGCGTCAGCCCGGGAGGGCTGTGCAAGGGCTTACAGGAATTGCCTTCCTCGCACTTTGATGGTGGCTCTCAGCTCAGCCTGTGCTGCTGGGAAGGTGCTACATCAGGAAGGGACGATGGAGACACTCCAGTGAGGAGTCCAGGGCACGGGAAGACGAAAGCCTTTGCCCACAAGCATGTCGTGGAGAACTCTGAGGCAAATCCAGGTCTCTCGTTTCCAGGTGTTTCACCTTACAGATGAGCGAGGCGGGGACATGACACCCACATGCTCCTTGGGTGACAGAGCACTATTTCTGGTGCAGAGCCGAAGCATCAGTCAGCAAATAGCAGGATGAGATAAATGTGGTCCCCGTGCATGGGAGCAGCATGCAGCAGTGTGATGAGATGTGTCAGCACAGGAACCATTAAAAGCAGTGCCATGGCAACCAGCATTCACTCTGTGGTAATTGCGAGTGCCGTTCAAGATGGCTTCTCATCCCCAGAGAAGCCTGCAGACGAGAGGCTCTGAAATATACCACACAGAGAACGCAGCCACAAGCAGACTCCATCTTCTTCACCAAGGCTTGAGGGTTTTCAGCAGAACTCACAGGAGGAAGAAACACAGGAGCTTCGGGAATTCCCCAGAATTACCCTGTCTGTTGTAAAGAATGGTTTTGCTTCCCCTTAGAGGGCTTCAGTGTCCCCTAGGCAACAATGTTTCAACAAGAGGTTGAGAGTGAGCAGAAGGGGAGAACTCCTCCCTCCCTCCCTCCTCCCTCCCTCCTCCCTCCCTCCCTGCTTCCCTCTCTCCCTCCCTTCCTCCCTCCCCCCCTCCCTCGCCCCCTCCTCCACTTCCCCCCCTTCCACCCTCCCTATTCCCCTCCCTCCTTCCTTTCCTTTCTTCCCTTTCCATCATTTGAGACAGGGTCTCACACTGTAGCCCAAGCTGGCCTGGAACTTACTATGTAGCTCAGGCTGGCCTCAAACTCACAGAAATCCTCCAGCCTCAGACTCTTGTGCTGAAATTACAGGTGTGACTACCATGTCCAGCTTATACCTTTTTCTGTGTGTTACAGGCTCTGCTGCTACCCACCCATTATTATTAAATTAATAATGATAATAATATGATAATGAATCTCCAGCCGTGGCAGGACACCGGGTGAAGGTGTGCCATGAGTTCAGTTTCATCACCAGGACTCTGTGAGGCCACTGTCCTTGGCTGCCTTGTGCTGCCCCGATTTTAACTTTGATGGCTGTATGCTCTTTCCGGACGCACAGGCCCGGATATTTTCAGCCCTGCTTCTTTACTGGTGCTTTTGTTTTTGAGTCAGGGTCTCACCATAGCCCAGGCTGATCTTGAATTCAGGATCCGGCTGCCTCGATTCTTTGAGCACTGAATTTACAAGGATGTACCGCCATGCCCCATCTCTCTCTTCTTTATTTTCTTCCCTTTGCATTTCTAACTGGACACCTTGCAGTAAAGACTTCCAGCTTCCCTGAGAAGCAGTTGTGGGCCTGTGACCGTGCTGACCATACTGGGAGCCAGAAAGTGCGCTTTCTGGGCTGTGTTCTTGGCTCCACCCTCCCTTCTGCTGGTGGGCTGCCTTGCAGTTGGAGTGATTCGCCACCTTGGGCAGAGAAGATGAAGACAACATCACAGGAATAGCAGAGCAGTAAAACATGCTGTTTTTCTTTTAAAAAGAAGTTGCTGCTTAAATGTGAGGCATCTGATATGACAACTAAAAGAAACCTAGTTTGAGTAAAACTCCTTTTTTTATTATGCTGTGTTGGGGGTCAGACCCCCTGAACCACACTACGAGCTTCTGGGCAAAATTCTTGCAGCACTGCAGCTCTGCCAGCTGTTTTTTGTTGTTGTTGTTGCAGAGTTGGGATTCTGTCAGGTATAGCAACTCACATCTGAAGTCCTAGCATATGGGAAGCTGAGGCAGGAGGATTGCTTCAAGTTTGAGGTCAGCCTAGGCTACACAGTGAGTTTTAAAGCCAGCCTGAGCAACAGAGTTAGATCCTGTCTTACCTCCCTGCCAAAAGAGGGGCAATATTAAGGAGTTTGTTAAACAAAGGAAAATGTGGAATTTATGAAGAAAATAATGGCAGTGTACAGTAATGCAAGGAGTGGGCATGAACTCTCAAGTAGTGATCTGGGATCTTGCATAGCTCACGTTACCAACTCATTTTAACCAAGGGGAAGCTCATTCGTGAGATAAAGTAGGAAAAAGTGGGGAAAACCTGGAATGGGTTAGCATTTTTTCCCAGGTTAGGGTTTGCCCCTGCTTGGTATCCTTACACAGGGTTTTCTGAATGAGCAGGGATTTTGCTAGATTCATGGTCTAGAGAAGCCAGTATAATGACGCAAAGGACAGGTCATGGTTGTCACAGCCTGTTGGTCCCAGCTGATTTGGGATGCTCTTGTGTCTTCACTGTTTGAGTGGTCACATGGTGTCTTACAGTAACGCAGGCCTGTGTCGCATCAGCCTCCAGTCACTGTGTATCTTGCTCTTCTCTTCCTGTACATATCTAGCCAGACTCATTCCTTCCCCAACCTCTAGAGATGTCTATCTCTTGATCTTTAGGGCTGAGGAGAACTTAAAGATCCACTTTTCAACGCAATGTAGGCAATCCCTCATTGGGACTTCTTAATTAAGTTAACGGATGTGGGACTGCCCAGCTCACTGTGAGTGGCGCTGTTCCCTAGGTGGGGGTGGTCCTGAACTCTCTTAGATAGAAGAAAACCAGTGGAGTGCAAGCAAGCTGAACATGCATGCATTTCCCTCTGCCCTCGACTGAATGAGATGTGACAGCTGTCTCAAGCTCCTGCGGTGGTGTCTTCACCCCAAGGACAGACTATTTATTACCTGGAATTGTGAGCTAAAATAAACCCTTCCTCCAAGTTGCTGCTTGTAGGGTATTTTAGTCACAGACACAGAAATGGAACTAGGAATCAGAATGAAGCAAAATTGGGGTTATTATGTAAAGGAGGGAGTTTTTTTGGTTTTTTTTGTTTGATTTTTGAGACAGGGTTCCTCTGTGTAACAGCCCTGACTGTCCTAGGACTAGCTCTGTAAACCAGACTGGCCCTGACCTCACAGAGAGCTGCCTGCTTCTGTCTCCCTAGTACTGGAGTTAAAGGTGAGTGCCACTATTGCCTGGCAAAGGAGGAAGTTATTAAGGAAATGTTAGGTTTATCAAGAAAAGGACTGTGGTGTACCCTCAAGGCAAGGAGTGAGTGTGTGCTCCTCAATAAAGTCAATTAAAAATAAAATAAAACAAAACAAAACAAAAATAACCAGGGTTAGTGATGGATGGCAAAGGTGCTTTCCTGTGGACCTGGAGACCTGACTTCTGTCCCTGGATCTCACAAGGTGATCTACAGGCAGCAGGGAGAAGGAGAGGGAGAGGGAAAGGGAGAGGGAGAGGAAGAGGGAGGGAGAGGGAGAGGGGGAGGGAAAGGGGACGGGGAAGGGGAGGGGGGGAGACTGGGCCTAATATGGGCTCTAGAAACCTCAAAGCCCACTCCCTGTGACATGCCTCCTCCAATAAGGCCACACCCCTAATCCTTCCCAAACAGTTCCACTAACTAGGGACCAAGCATTCAAACCATATTCACCTATGGTGAGCCACTCCCATTCAGACCACCACCACAATAACTTACCACAAGCTTGTCTTATAACTTCTGACTACCCCCCCCCATCACCAGAAGTCTGATATCAGTTGCATGGGGGTAGACTCATTGGCAGGGGCTATTATTTTCTGGAAGCTCTGGAGTGAGTCTACTTTCTTGGCTGTGTTGGCTTTTGCAGGCCATCTGGCTATCTTGTCTATGACTCCTCCCTTGAGTCATCCCAGCCTCTTGCTTCCACTATCAGATCTCCTACATCTACGGTCGGATATGTCTCCTTCTCAGAAGGATGCCTGTGGTTACAGTTTAGACCTTACAAATCACTCAGGATCGTCTATCTCCTCATCTCAAGACCTTTAACTCTAGCACAGATGGCAATGTTCCTTCTGCCACATAAGAATGGGAGGTACTAGTGTTTAGGATGTGGATATTAGCCTACTGAAGCTAAAAACTTTTATTCTTTTCTTCTGCCACACCACTGTATGTGGTTTTTAAAGGTCATTCATACACACAGAGCTCTTTCATTCTGCCGCCATCTTCTGTGTAAGTAGTCATATTGATTTTAAAAGCATTCTAAGCATCAGCTTGTGAACGACCTTAATTATTTGCATGTTGGTATATTTGTGTGTGTATAAAATACCAAAGATAGTGTTCCACAATTTTATATAAAACATATATTCATAAAGGATAATGTGTGATAATCAAGTTGTCCTTTGAATTATTTTATTTTTTATTATTTTTACATGCCAACCCCAGTTCTCCCTCCTTTCCTTACTCCTTCCTCCCCACCTCTCCCCATCCTACACCCATCTACTCCTCAGAGGGGATAAGGCCTCCCTTGGGGAGTAACCAAAGTCTGGTATACCAAGCTGAGGCAGGACAAAGTCCCTCCCCCAGCCCCAGTCAGGCTGGGAAAGGTATCCCACCATAGGGAGTGGGCTCAAGAAAGCCAGTTCATGTACCTGGGATAAGTTTTTAAATTTATTTTATTTGTCCTTTCAATTATTTAATGCCTTTTGAATCACCTTTGTGCTTGACTATTCCCCAAAGGCTGGATATAAAAGGTATAGAAATGCCTCCCAGGGTCAAGGAGACCTTGGATGGTTGTGTGAGAGCGAGTCAGTGTAAGTAAACCATGCTGTAACTGAGAGACGTGGGCTCCTGGGATGCCTCTCAGAGGTAGATGCCTTGTGGATGCAAAGGGCTGTCAACATTCACGAAGTATGAATCAGGAAATGAACTACCAGAATCCATGGCTGTCTGATTAGTTCTCATTTTCCCACCTTACAGATTCTTTCAACTCTGCTGTCTCTCCTTTCTCCGTCCACATGACGGATATCAGCACCCTAGGCTTGGGCTCCCTCTCAGTGTGATGAGGTCACGCTCTCATGTAGGTGCCTCAGTCAGAGCAGCTGGGCTGGTAAGGCAAGAGGCCCTCATACACCTCTCTCAGAAATGCCTTAAGGGAAGGGAGGGGAGGTGGGGGCAGGCTGAGGCAGTGGTTGTGACTTGAGTCATTCATGTTAACTGTTGGTAGTCACTTTCAGGTGACTCATTCTACTCCTTGACTGGGTTTGTAAGACCATAGAGCCCCTCCGCTTTCCTCAGAGAGCCCTGGAGCAGGCTGCCATAGGGATTAAGGACACTGGTGGAGCATGGGGCTGGTACCAGGACAGACCCTGCTGCTGTTTGGACCTAGTAGGGGGAGTTTCTGCCCAGAAATAACAGAATGGCAAATGTGAGAGGGGTTTGACTTTACTCATGGGCATGCTTCTGAGGGCTCTCACGTCATGAAGGAAGAGGTGCATGGCCTCTAAGAGGCCAGTGTTACTCCTTGAAACTCACTTATACTAGATTACCTTGTCCACTTTATTGCAATAGTTTTAGATCTTTCTTTCCATTTCCTCCTCCCCTTTCTTTTCTTCCTCTCCCCACCTCCTTTTCTTTTTCTCTATGTAGCCCCAGGTGTCTAACTGTTCTGGAACTCTCTCTATGGACCACACACTGGCCTCAAATTCAGAGATCCACTAGTATCTGCCTCCCAGGTTCTGGGACTAAAGTTGTGTGCCTCCATGCCAATTTTTAAGACTCCTAAGAATAGGGATTAGTTTCTGTGGGGCTGACCTTTCAGGTTGTAGGGATCTTGGATGGAGAAACGCTGAGTGTGGTCATTGAGAAGTTAGGGAGGTAGAAATGAAGTCACGGCCCAATCATTGAGAAGTTAGGGAGGTAGAAGTTACCCTGTCCAGGTCCAGTTCTTGCCACTGAAACCGAACAAGGAAAAGACAGAAAGGTGGAGGCATGCGGAACGTGCCCAAGATTCTGGCGCCGAGGAGACTGAGGCAGGAAGACCATGAGTTTCATCTGACCTGAGGTATATTTAGTGAAACCCCTGTCTTAAAATCTCAGACAATTATTCTTTTTATAGTTCTGGGGACTGAGAAGTCCACGGGGCCACATTTGGTGAGCATCCTCTGCCTGGAGGGACTCTGCAGGGTACCACACAGTGGGATAGAGAGAACATGCTGATGTGAGTCTCTGCCTAAGAAGTCACTAATGTGATCATTAGGGTGCCACCCTTAGGAATTCATCTAGTCTTACTTACTGCCGTAAGGCCTCAGTTCCAAATACCATTAACATAGGACTTTGGGAACTAAGTTTCTTACTGAATTTTGGAAGAGCCAAAGAGCTAGACCATGACAATATCTTAAAAAAACTTTTAAAAAATATTTAAAGAGTGCTGTGGTGGTAATGATTATAGTAGTGATAGTGATTATGGCAGTGGTGGTGATTGTGGTGGTCTTAGTGACTGTAGTGATTTATGGTGATGATTGCAATAGTGGAGGTCATTAGTGATAACTGTGGTTATGATGTGTTGAGAGTGAAGACCTATTTGGATCTTTAAGTCCTCTGTCCATGAAGGCATGTGACTGAATGGCCGGCATATGTCAGTTCATCATGGCTGCTCCTGGACTGACCCTGCTGTCTGTCAGCTTGGTGCTTTGGGCTGCATGGTCTTTTCTCTGTGATCCCACGCTACTCCAAAGCAATACCAGCATGCAGCTGCAGCCTGCAGGCTTCCCTGTTGTTGCTCCTGCTGCCTGCCTCTCCCTTTACTCACTACAAAGCAAGTTTTAAGCTCTATCTGACCCCAGAGCTGCTAAGGACTCCACTATTTGGAAGCTGTCATGGCAAAGAGTTTTACCTGCTTGACTGACTCTAGCTCCTTTAATCTTTAGTTTCCATCGGCTCATATCCTTGCCTAATGGCAGTGGACACGGAATGACTTATCCACTGAAAAATGAGCAATGGGGAAAGGAGAAAAAGCAGGAAAGCAATTAGTCAAGGATATTATGCCGTGTGTACATACAGGGGAACATCACGTCATCTGTTCAGAACTAATTGTTAGAACTTCTGCAATCAACCATCTGTGGCCTTTCTAAAACCATAAAGTCGATTAATTGATCAGGAGCATTCTGGGCGATCCTTAAGCACACTAACCCTGAGAGCTCCCTGTACCAGCTTCAGCTGATTTGCCTGTTGAGTTTAACATTGAACGGGACTTGTTCTCAAGTTGCTTCAGAGCATGTTAGTGTGCATTCAAGTGATGCAGGGGAATGGTGGGAACTGAGACTGTTCATGCCTGACTCTAGCGGTGCTGTGGCTTTCAATTGGAGCCTATGCCTGCAAAGCCTGTGTTGATGCTCTTTGTGTACCTGCAAGGCTGTCTTGAGAGTTCCCGATGCCAGCGCTTTGCTTGCTCTGGATTGGAGCTTGCAGGCTCCCCACCTGTAAACAGAGTTCTTAATTAGGCTAGATAATACAAACCTGGAGTCAGATATAGAGGAAAATGCTGCGAGAGCACAGAGAAGGAACAAGCCACCGCCACACCTTACCTCCTTCACATCTCAGCAGACAAGAGAGCCAGTTCCTGTTTCTCCCTGCTTATATCCTGTATCTCCCCTGCTACCTCACTTCCTCCCTGTCTGTACAGACCTCTATGGTTAGCCAGTGGCAAGTTCCATTGTCTGACCTTCAGACAGGCTTTATTTGTACAAACAAGATATCGCCACACCCACCCCATCTCATGTGTGGTTAATAAAGCTCTAACTAGGGCTCATCCTGACTTCCCATGCCTGTCTCCTCCTCGTGCCTCTCACCTGGTCCCTCTGTACTCACCCGTATTCTACACCCCTACCCTAATAAAAGGATCTCTGTTCCCATCACCTGGGCTTGTCATCATGTGACTCTGCTTAAACTCAAATAAAAAATTAGATATCTGTAGATTTTGCTTTATTAATAAGAGAAAGTCCTCTTTGCTTCTTGGAGAAGGGGATATGTGAGACTTGAACTCAGGTATGAAAATGTGATTAAGAAACTGGTTTTTTTTCCATCTTTTGTACACCATTGTAACTTCCAACTCTGTATTACGTTTCTATGATATCCCCACCCTTGAGAGAACTGAGGCTGTTAAGATAGCTGGCTCCTGATATAGGTGGAGAGAAACAGGAAACTCGATTCTTGCCTGCATGGAATTCGTTCATCTTCCCAGGACTTGGGTGTGGGTGAGGGGTTACAGAAGAGTGTTGAGATTCTTTTCTCTGGCTTGACGTCCAGACTAGCATGCCTTTAATCCCCACTAGTTAAAGATAAGAAAGCAGGCCCAAAGTAAAGGACTGACCTGTAGTTCCCTTCTGACGTGGATAGTCCGTTGTCAGTCACGTTGAAAGCTCCTATCACCCTAAATGACCGAGAGTGGCTTTCCGTGAGAATGGGCTTAATGGGGAAGAGCAGCGAGCAGCAATGCCATGGCAACTGTGAGCACATCCAGGGAGACAAAGAGAAGCAAGCGTTTTTGAAGGTAAAATGAGAGGACACAAAGTTGTTTTGAGCTGAAGAGAACATTGATTATGGACTTATTGTGGGAATTGACGTCAATTCGATGATGGACAGTGTACCAGGCAATTGTATTTTATATGTTTTTGTGACTCAGGTAGCAAGGGACAGTTTGTAAAGCCCTTTGTCAAGGTTCTGATTACAGGCCTTAGTTCTGATTAGAGCCCTGCAGTGGGTCTTTGCAGTGGTTCTTATCACAGCATGTGTGCAGGGGGACCTTCCTTTCTCAGTCTCCGGACTCTTTGGTTTGAGTTTGTAAAAAGGACGACACCATGTTGGCATGGGCAACTTTCACAGTCCAATGGTGAAGCCAGCAGCAGTCAGTGGACTCAATGGCAGTGAATCTAGGAAAAGATTCCTGGCTGCAGAGCTGCCGAGATGTGGCTGGGGTTCAGAGGGAGATCTCCCCAGCCTAGGAAGGTAACGGTGGACAGTGCTATTGCCACCGCAGTGCCTCTCTTCACAGAGGAATGCTAAGTGTGTGTAGAAAGGGCTGCTAGCATCATCTGGGGAGGTGCAGCAGTGACTCTAAATCTCACCTGAGAGTCTGATTAGAAGGGCCTGGTGAAGTGTGTGTATGTGTGTGCGCGTGCGTGCATGAAAACACGCACTTACACACACACACTTGCATAATTTGTAGCATTTTTTTTCTCCCTAGTGAACTATATTTTAATATATCCTCTGTGCAGTTTTTACTTCATTCTTTTGGGAAGCAACACCTTAGCACCCCAAATGTTGAAAGCTTCTTAGTTTGGCAAAAATTCATCAATTTGGTAAATACTTATTAAACAACTACTATATGGCACTCATGCATTGTTCTATACCCTGGGTAGATATTTGTGAATAAGATCACAGCGTCTTCACCGAACCCCAAAGTAGTTAAAATAGTTTAAAAGGAGGAATAGAGATTTCTGGATCTTAAGATTCTATTGTTTGGTTCCAAGTGCTACAAAGTTCTGTAGCACAGAATGGGAACCCCCATTCTTAGAGTCCTGGGTGGGAGTGAAATAAAGCCAACATTGACTCTGTAGGTTTCTCATTGATAAAACAGGGACATGCACAACTACCTCAAGTCTCATCATGGGTTGCAAAAACAAACAAACAACAAAAGCCGAAGCATATAAATCATGGATGCCAGTGCTTGGCACATAACTTTGCTCTCTTGTTTCACAATGGGTTCCACTTACTTATCTTTGTTTGGGGTCACATTGGAGAAAATATGAACATGTCTGGAGAAGTCTTGAAAAATGAATCTGAGGCCCAAACGGGATAATAAAGAACATGAAACAAAGAACTAAGAAGAATCTCTGCCACCCCCACAGCATAAGAACTGCAGGTGTACATTGGGGCAGCTGCTCTGGGAGTTCCTCAGAAAGTTACACAGAGGTCACCAGATGACTCGGTAATTCCACATCTAGGTATATACCCAAGACAGTCAGATACATACATTACACTAAAACCTTTATACAAATACAAATGTATATATCATCATAGCACAAAGGCCCAAAGTAGAAACAACCCAAATCCCATCTCAATTGATGAATGAATAAAATGTGTGTGTGTGTGTGTGTGTGTGTGTGTGTGTGTGAGAGAGAGAGAGAGAGAGAGAGAGAGAGAGAGAGAGAGTTTTGAAAAGTAAATATAGTAGAACACTACTCAGCCATAAAAAGGAATAAAGTCTTGATCAGGCAATAGCATGGATAGACCCGAAAACATAAATGAAGACAGAAAAAAAATTCACACATGTATGGGGTCACTTATACAAAATGTCTACAGTAAGACATTATGTAGACTCAGATTAGATTTGTATGGCATAAACAGGGTGTGGTAGGGCATACCAGTAAACCCAGCATTCAGGATGTAGAGACGGGAGGATAGAAGGCTAAGGTTATCCTCAACTACATAGTAAGTTAGAGGCCAGCCTGAACTACCAGAGACCCTGTCTCAAAAAGACAAATGGTCAGTTTTACACGTCTGTAAGCTAAGAAAACGCCCCCGGCCTGCTCTGCCTCAGTTGGCACACACCTAACTGCAAAGAGGAATGCAGATGGCTTCAGATGGCAAAACCCCTCACCTGAGACTCCTTTTGGCCTTCTGGGACCGGAAGAATGCCAGTGAACGAAACAGTACTTGTTATATCGCTACGATGTTTGCATATGTTTCTATCTCAGCCACAGAGACAGCTTGATAGTTTTCAAATACTCGGGTTTGTCGTTCTTAACCTCGGTTCTAGAAGCCCCACCCGGATCTTTCATGGTGCCAGTGGGTGGTCTTGAAGTGGTCAGGGGTGGTCCACTACACCAAGACAGCAGGGCTTTGTCTAGGTGCAGCTCCTTGAACCAGCGCTCCAGGTTCCTGTTGGCCTCCTGTTTTCAGGGGGAGGAAAGTGAATCTTTGTGGTGTGGAATGTGTTAGGACAGAAGGTGTTTTCAAACCTGAGAAGTGCTTTGCTTTCTGGCTCATTCCAGCTTCAGGTTTCCTCCCTGGACGGTCCTGACTATGTGCTGCCCTACAGAATGTGTCCTTGTTGTCACTTCTCAATGGCCACATATGCTCTGTCGCACATTTGGGACTACTGTGTCATGTTTTCAAACCGATTTTAATAATTTTTTTTTAAACTTTGTCTTTAGCATTTTGCAGGAAGCCCGCTCACCAGCTGTTTGTTTATACCGTCTTGTGATTGTTTTTGAACATTATCAATGAATTGTGTGTAATTACATCATTACCAGGGAAGCAGTGAGTTGAATTTCCCTGCAGGGTGTTTCTAGGGGGAATGCTGTATCAGAGCTATTCTTAGAGCTCTGAGGAGATTCGTGGTTAGACACTCAGTGTCCCCAGGGAGAGAGAGATGGGTCTTCTGACTAGCTGCTTTTAAAGCCCAACGCTTTTGGTGCCCTATGGCAGGCAGTGAGCCTGAGGATTTCTAAGGCTCCTGGGACAGAGATGGAAGGTTGCAAAGATGACCTATTTAAACTTTTTCCTACAGTACTGCAAGACCCCAGGCAGCCTCTTCTTCCTTACATTTGCTTTACTTTAAAAAATACAAAGTATACACGTGTATGAAGTAGGAGGACTAGTCTAACACATGTACCCATGACTTACTATTCAAGCCTGTCTGTTCCAACATTTACCATTTCATTGTGATGAAAGCACGAAGCACCCTGTCTTTTGGGTATATTGCACAGCATCATTTGCTATAGATCCCAGCTGTGCAGTAACACATCAGAATCTTTCTCCTACGTGTAGTTTGGTACTCCTTGGTCAACCTTTGCTCATCATCCCCAAATGATTCTTTGCCCCCATTAGCAGCCACACTTACTCCCTATCCCTCTCGGCCCTAGGTGGTCCCTAATCTACTGGCTTTCTACTGGATTTGCCTCATCTGGACTTTTCATACAAGCACAGCCATTTAATTGTGGTCTTTTGTACTGGCTTCTTTCACCTGGTGTAATATTTTCAAGATTGTCACATAGAACAGCACACATCACTGTACTCATTCATTCCTGTCTAAATAAAAAATATATATCACGTAAAGTTCATCATCTAAATCAGTCTTAACTATGCGGCTTAGTGGGCTTTAGTATATTTAGTATATGCAAACTGTCCTCCACCCACACTCCAACTCTTTCATATTGCAAAACTAAAATGGTACCTGTTAAACTACTTCTTGTCTACCCCCCCATGAATGTGAAGGCCAGGTGGATGATGAGTATCTTCTTTTACTTTCCACCTCATTTTTTTTTTGAAGCACAGTCTCTCACTGAACATGGAGCTCAGGGCTTTTCGGTTAGATTGGCAGTGAGCCCCAGAGATCCTCCTGTCTCTGCGCTCCCAGCTCTTGATTACGTCTGCTGAACTTCATTTTTTTTTTTTTTTTTGGTTTTTATGAGACAGGGTTTCTCTGTATTGTTTTGGAGGCAATCGGTCCAGCCCGGCCTCGAACTCACAGAGATCCGACTGCCTCTGCCTCCCGAGTGCTGGGATTAAAGGCTTGCGCCACCACCGCCTGGCCTGAACTTCACTTTTACATGGGCGCCAGGCATTTAAACGACAGTTCTTATGCTTGTACAACAAGGCTTTCCACCCTGAGACATCTCCCTGGTCCCTCTCCCCACATCTCTTGGCTATTTCTATGTTTCTGACTATCCTAGATGGCCACTTAATTAATTTAGCGTATGTGTGGCCATGCCACAGTAAGTATGTTGAGCTCAGAGTACAATCCACTAGAGGCTTCCTGTCTTTCCAACATGTGAATCTCAGTTCAACAGGCTTGGAAGCAAGTGTCATTATCCTTTCAACCATGTCAATGGCCTATTTGGCTTTTTGTGACTGGCTTATTTCATATAATGCTGTCTAGGTTTTATCTATATGACAGCCAATGTCAGAATTCTCTTTTTAAGGATGTGTAAGGTTTCACTATGTATTCTAATCAATCCCTCCATAAATAGACACTGGGACATGGCTACAGTGACTAACACTTCAGCGAAAGGGGACATACACATTCTGCTTAATCCCCTCCTTTCAGTTCTTTCAAGTATATACCTATAGATGGGATTGCTGGATGGCCTAGTATTTCTGTTTTTAATTTTGGGGGAACCACCCTGTTTCCTGTTAGCTACATTATTTTGCATTTTCAAAAACAGTGTATGGAGTTCCAATTTCTCTCAGCTGTCTTGAACACTTGTTATTTTCTGGTTTGTTTGTTTTGCTTTTGTGTTATGAATAGTAGCTCTCCTAGCTAGTGTGGGATGGCATTCATTCGTTCCTAATTGACATTGGACATATTGTGCTAGGTGGATAGATTGAGACCTGCCAATAAAGAACGATGAAAACAAGATATTAGGTGCAGTCCATGCTTCAATATTACAATCTGTCTGAGGAAGTAGGATCACATTTG